GTGATGTGGTGGTGGTGGCCGTGAACTACCGATTAGGACCCTGGGGTTTCCTATATGCCGGCACCGAAGACGCAGCTGGAAATATGGGACTCTATGACCAATTGCTTGGACTTAAATGGGTTAACGAGAACATCGAGCAGTTCGGAGGCGACCCCAAGAAAATCACCATTTTTGGAGAGTCAGCCGGTAATTGAGTACAATATGACCTTTAATTAAAAGTTTTTAGTGAACTATTTCTAAGAAATAAAACTTAGATTTAGTTTCATATGAAGTGCTGATTACAGGAAAAAATCAGTGCAAATGTTATCAATTGTGTTATAATATCTGTTTGTTTGCAATGTACTAATGCACAGGTAGTATGTCGGTCGGCGCCCATATCTTATCTCCCCTGTCTCGGGGTCTCTACCAGAGGGCTATCTTGCAATCTGGTGCTCCCAACTCATACTTAGGCAGTGAATCCAGAGAGCAGGGATACAAAAAGACCTTATTTTTAGCCGAAAGGTTAAATTGTAACACAGCTTCGGGCGCAGACATCGTGGCCTGTCTTAAGCTCAAAACCACGGAACAGATTCTGAATGTATCGAAAACCGCTCGATTGGATGCCAAGAGTTTTGAACCAATTTATGGCGAAGAGTTAATGCCGATTAAGGCTTCGGACGCTTTACAAAATGGAGACTTTAATAAAGACATCGACCTCTTATTCGGCACCGTTAGCGAAGAGGGCGCCCTCTTTGTTGAGTCTATGTTTGAAGACAAATTGAGTCCAGACATCAAGAACCCGCCCATCAATGTGACCATTTGTAGTCAAGTCATAACTTTTATGGTTATGGCTTTCGGTGAGACAATGGCTTACGGCAAAGAAGTGGCCGATTTCTACCTCAAGGACGTCAAAGACGGCGAGTTCGACAAATTGAGACAAGCGGTCGGCTATGGGTTCGGCGACTATCATATCGCGTGTCCGACAGTACTCTTCGGCCGAGAGTTTGCACTCCACGGCAAAGGAAAGGCTTACGCTTTCAGACTGACATACCCGCCAACAATACCCGTGTTCCAGATGTGTAAGGGATGGATGGGTGACTGTCACGGCGATGATGTGCTCATACTGTTTGGCTTTCCTATTAAACTCAGAGGCATTACATTCACGGAAACTGATTATAAGATCGCTCGCGATATGATAGACGCCTGGTCTTCGTTCGCCTACACCGGGTCTGTCATACAACTGATCCACACGTTTATACAATTAATTAATTATATTAATTGAATCCTCTGTACAGATCACCCAAACAATTAGGTAAAGACAAATGGGAGGAAGCGATCGACAAGACTTCAAACGACAAATTCGTGAAATACTTGGAATTGAATCCAAAGACCAATTATCCAATGGTTAACGACTATTACAAAGAGTCGTGCGAAGGCTTTTGGGCCAAGAAGTGGGGCTACAATAAGTAGTCGACTATTAGATCACGAATTTATTTGTTATTTATATAAAATAAAACGTTTCAATGAAAAGTTAATTTTGCCAAAAATATTATGTGTTTATCATAAAAATTCTGTTTAAGTGGGGCTACAATAAGTAGTCGACTATTAGATCACGAATTTATTTGTTATTTATATAAAATAAAACGTTTCAATGAAAAGTTAATTTTGCCAAAAATATTATGTGTTTATCATAAAAATTCTGTTAAAATAATAAAATAAATGTATAAATAAAAAGTCATCTCTAAGAGGCCTCCCCTCCCTCAGTTGTTGGTGGTGCGGGTGTTTCCGTTTCCTCCTCAGCCGCTTTTAGTATAGCTTCTGTAGCTTCTGTAGCTTCTGTAGCCGGTTCCGAGTCTGCGGTCGACGTTTCAGTCGTTTGTTGGTCCGCCTGTTCTTTGAGTGTGTTGTCGGCTTCGGTCGATGTCTCAGTCGTCTGTTCTTCTGCCTGTTCTTTGAGTGTATTGTCGACCTCTTCGGTGACCACACCCTTCTCGGCTGCCGGCTCTACAGTGACGGCCCCCTCAACCGCATCGGCTTTGGTGGACGACTCCTCGGCATTGAGTTTGTCGATGGCGTCGAAGACGTCAAACTCCTTAAACTGTTGCTGCACTTTGATGGGAATCTTGAGCTCAAAGGACCTTGCTGCCGTCTGCATCTCGTAGAACTTGGGCTTCACCCAGAAGAAGGTCGCGTCCAACAGGACGGAGCAAAAGTCTTCGGCGCCTTCGTTGGGATCCGTGATACACATCTGCGGACACTCCTCGTAGAGGACGCCCTTCTTCTTGTCCAGATCGCAGTAATACAGGTAATGAGGATTACATCCCTGGGCGCCGCACGCGTGCAGTTTGGCGCCGCACCGGAGACCCTCCCCATCGCAACAGTCGCAGTACTGGTGCTTAT